GGAGAATTAGGATAGAGTAATGACCACAAGATTTTGCAGCGAATAGATCATTGGATACTTTGGTCAGTGCCGTTTACACAGAGTGATTAGTGCGAAAATCAGACTGAAGCGGGTCTAGCAGTGAGTCAATCTCGCATACACAATTCTTTTAAGGATCTTGGATGCAAATGGCAGTAGCGAGATAGGACGATAGTTGGGTGGGGAGTTAGGGTCAAGGTTGGGCTTCTTTAGAATTGGGGTTAAAGTTGCATGTTTGAAGGGCGATGGAAATATACCAGAGGAGAGAGAGAGATTGAGAATTTTAGTGAGAGGTAGAGAAAGAGAAGAAGACAGAGTACGGATGAGATGTGAGTGAATTGGATCTAGACAGCAGGTGGTGGGACGGGAGGACTGGAGCAGATTAGCAAAGTTGACTCCAGCTCTTGATGAACTAATTTAATTTTTGTCAAATGTTCTACCACTCCTTTTGACAAGAGATATTTGCCTAGCTTTAAACTGTACAAAAGCTTGATTAACTTACTTTCCCAGTGTAAAACTTCAGTGATATACATTCAATATTATTTATTATAAAAATAGAAACTGCAATGTTTACATTGCAGCACTAAGTCTGCCTCCACTGTCTCCCATACAGGCACTGCAGGCGCTTCCTGCATTGTAACAGACCTTTGGTCCGGTATCTGATGCTGGACATCCTCACACACTGCATGAGGACATCCAGCATTAGATTTTCCCACATAGGAAAGCATTGATTTAATGCTTTCCTATGGTGAAGACTAATGCGCACGTGGCATTTATTACACACGCGCATTAGAGCCCACTTGTCGAGGTACAGAGGAGGAGGTGGAGCCACAACCCAGCGCCAAGGGACATCAGCGCTGGGGTCAGATAAGTAAATAGAGGGTTTTTAAGCCTCTATTGGCCACTTTTGGGGGGGAGGAGGGTGCAAGGATGCAGAGGGAGCTATAGTGCCATGAATACAGCTTTGTATTCCTGGCACTTATAGTATTCCTTTAAGTCAATAATTAGATCTAGCATAACAGTAGCATATAAACAAAAAATATTTGATAGAGGAATTTTACAGAACCAGGATGGGAGTTTGAAATAATAAGCAACACTTTTAAGGGAGCAAATCGTTTTCATTGTACGCAATAGCAAATTTAGAGCCATTTAACTTAATTGTGTGACACCCTAAAATTGGACAATATTTGTTTGCATCTAAGGATATTGGGAAGTTTTCAAATAAGTGTCACTAAAAGAAAATTGACCCCAAGTGTGAAAGTGATACAGCTGGAAAGAACATTCAAACGGTATTCTTAGATACTGTTGTGCTTTTAGAACTTTCACGTTTCTTCTACTCTTTTTTTTTAAATCTCCGCCATTGTTTCATTAAAGAAATGTGTTTATCTAAAAGACAAATGTGATTATCTTTTTATGCTAGGGCATCCCATCCATCTGACAAAGGTTTAAAAAAATGTTAAATGTCAACAAGGCACGCCACATAACTGTGTTATAACTAAGGCGTCCAGGCTACTTGTAATGGAATTTATTTGCAATACTAGTAATGTTTTCCTCACTATGAGTTCTTATTAAACCTTGACAAAAGCTGATAGTGATTCAAAACACCGTGTGCTGTAAAAATAAATTCCTTCAACACAAGCCTTTGTGAAAGATCATCTGTATAGTAATAGAACCGAGCCAGGCCACCGTAACCTTTCTAGCACTAAGTGAAAGTACTCTCTTATCAGATTAAAAAAACAATCACCATTTGTCCATATTACATGATTTTACAATGTTATAATGGTTGGATTTTCCCTTTTTACACTTTAATATTGGACCTTCTTTGGATTCTATTTCACATGTGCATAGCTCAAACCTGACTTGTAGCTTTGTTATATTTCAACCATTTAAGAAGTGCCACAAATGATTTTCTCGTATCATAAGTAATTACATGGTATCACTTTAAATAGGTTAAAATTACTGTTAGTATACTATACTATACTATCTGTTTATTGTGTCGAAAACATTGCTAAAATATAGTTATCATTTTTAGGTAAAAACTTATGACGTGTGTATAATATAAGCAGCCATTTAGGTATTGAAAGTGCCACCTGCAAAGCCATGTGTCTGCCCAAAGCATATTTAAAAGTCCCAGAATGCAATGTATGGTGATCTCTGGGATTGAGCCAGGTGTATAAAGTCACAGGTAAGGAAAAAACACATCAGAAAGAACAGAAATGTATTTAAATATTTCCTAATGATGTGGCTACCCTATTTTGTATGTGAAGATTTACTCCATGTTTAAAACAAAGCTTGTCTTGGAAAACACAGATCTACTTAAAGCTAAAACGGTTAAGTCTTTTTCAGCTCTCACATATTCTCTCTGGTAAATATAACGTCCTATTTTCTATGCTATGAACTTATACCCTCAGTTCTGGAAATGAGTGGAACACTGCCCGATTGGAAAGAAGAGACGGCATAACACCATATTAAATCACCTCTGTGCATTCTACCAGTGACAAGCTTGGAATTTGTCACGATGGCGAAAAGGCTTCAGACGTTTTGAACAGTGTAATCAACCTATTTTTAATTCATGCTAAAGTCCAACCGGTTTAGAAGACAAAATGCTGATTTAACACCTCTACAGACGTACAGAGTCTATTTTAATTTAGTGACTTCATTAGTAACCGGACAGCGAATATGACCATACAAATCCTAGTAACTCCAGGTTTACTCTATGGATCATGGCACCTGGACTGGAGCCACAGCTATTTCTAATACATAAGATCACATAAGCCTAATGTGTGTCAGAAAAAACTGAGCCCATACCTTATTTAACCCTTAAGGACACATGACATGTGTGACATGTCATGATTCCCTTTTATTCCAGAAGTTTGGTCCTTAACGGGTTAAGAGTAGATTTAACTACTGCACTTATTTGAATTGCAATGTAATAACTCAGGTTTGCATGAATATGCTCTATGACATGCTTGATCATTCAAGCTTAGCAGTTTTAATTTGTTTTCTTCGGAGTCCCAGCATTAATGGAATTTAAAAAAAAAATAATAATAATAATTTTTAGATTTTCAAAGGGAAATTATATGTCCAAAAATTGCTTTTTAATGCACATGAGGATTAATTGAAAAACAAAAAATATCCAAATATTTCCTAAGCCTCAACTTTTTATCTGCAGAATTGACTTCTGCAGCTAATGAAGATCCACTCCTCTTTTGCCCAGCAAATAATTCTTTGTTAATTCTGGACATTCTTCATCAATCTTCATTCATCAAATGCTTCTCACAGAACAACACTGAGGACACATCTCCAGTCCAAAGCTTCTCATAGGGTTATTTTATTGACATTTAGGAATATTATAAAAACATTTATACTTTCAGTTTATATTAGTTCAAGTTTTTAAGTGTAATTTGTTATTGTGCCCATTGAAATTATGACTGGATATGTAAAGCTGTTGTTGACTAAAATTCTTATCAGAGTCAGCCAACAACTGGATGAGGTTAATTGGAGTTATATATCACATAAGCTGTTTAGCAATTGATTGCATCTTTATTCCATTACATCAGATACATATTTGAAATCCCATCAGCCTTAGCTACACTCTCACTGAGCTTAATAGAAAGTTGTCATCCTGCAGGGCTAGCCAACATTTTGTACTTAATTTAATAGCACACAATTTCCCAAAGGAGTCATGTTTAATTTTTGTTTTTTTCTTATGACCTTTGTATCCAGAAAGGGCAGGGTGCAAAAATTAGAACTGAATTATATTTTTTCTTTATCAAAGTGTTAGAAAGTTCAGTTACCTGAGAGCTTTGACACTGTGTGTGTGTAAGTCACCCAACCTAGAGAAATCTGTCTAAATTTTAGAGTTAGTATGCTGTGTTAACTATGTGGCCTGACAGCAGTCACAAATGTTGTACTGAAACTTGCAAGCCAGGAAGAGAGTTTATTTATTGTAAAAAAGGTCAAAAACTCTTACTTTCCAATTGCAAAGTCAGAGTTTTTAACCTTTTTTACAATAAATTGTTGAATATACTATTCAATTAGGGGGTTCTGCCTCTCTCTGTCCTATATGACAGTGAACCATCTACCAACTGGGAGCATACCATCCAGATACTGTTTAGACAGTATGGGATTCTTCCCTCTCCAGTGGAGCTTTTAAAACCCAGAACCAGAGGTGATAGGGCTCTGGTCCATGTGAGGTCTCCCCTTTACCACTTATTGGGCATTACTCTATTCAGATAGTCTGCACTATATTTGTTTTTGTGATTCATGAATACTATAGGCACCCAGACCACTTAAGCTCATTGAAGTGGTCTGGGTGCACTTAACCCTGCAAAGGCAATTAACCCTGCAAAGGTAATTATTGCAGTTTTTAATAGACTGCAATAACGACCTTTCAGGGTTAACTACACCTGTAGAGGCTGTCTACCAGACAGGCACTAGAGGGATTTCCGGGTTATTAGGCAGATTTTGGTCACCTAACTGATGCTGGACGTCCTCACGCAATGCATGGGGATGTCCAGCGTCACCCAAAAACCCATAGGAAACCACTGAATAATTGTATATACAGAAAGCTCTGTGTATTCATTGTAAACCATGTAGGATCCACTATAGTATAATATAATTTTTATATATTATATTATATTTCCTGACAGAAACACCAGCAAAGAAAATTGATTCACATCCAGGTGAAGAAATGACTGGAACAGCAAGGAATATTTACTAAAAAAAAAGATGTCTAGATTTCTAGTCTGTGTATACATGTATTTGGAAGGGAAAAAAGATGAATTTTACATGTAAATATATTTATTTCTAGTAACCATTTTCTTTGAGCCAATGTTGAAAATCATTAAGCCAATGTTGAAAATTGTGGATTTTCATTGTGAAAAGACAAAACACTTATGAGTTTTATTAATATGTCCACTCACTGTGACGAATTGAGAAACAAGATAAAGAATGTTGTTGCCAATGCATCTGAATCGTAAGCTAGAGTAAAATCATTGGTTACAATTTTTCCTAAGCAAACATTAGCTTTTCGTTTGTATTGTTTAAAATGTGCTGATATTACACAAAGAAAAACTGTCCTTGAAGAAATATCACAACGCAAAAAAAGAAACATTCTTTTGAATTCTAGATTTCAACTGCTGTCTGAAAAGCTCTACAATACCTGGTTTCACATTTGATTTCTATTAGTTTGACAACAATAGCAGTTTTTTTTCTACTGCGATAATTGCAGCATAGATTAAAGAGTTTGTGAAAAATATGCAAATATGTAACATCCTTTGAGCATGAAGCTCAATTTCAATCCAAAATAACACACATTTAACAACTGTTCATTGGATAACGCTGGTTGTCCTGGCGCACATAATTTATGGCTCAGTTTCCGAACCTTGACAAAGGAGGAACATTTTATATTGGCAGATTATGGTTGTTAAACAATTTGTCAAGGTCACACTCTATAATGGCTACTCAGATGTAATAGAAAACATGAGAAATAGTGATTGAAATATGTGCATGATTTGTCATATTTTTAACCTCAGATCGATGGCATTGTTGTTTGAGAACCTGTTATCAGCCGAACCCTGTCTACCCCTTGTGCATGTCTGGGATCAAGAAGACACATTTTTCAATAGTATTTGTCAAGTAGAGGGCTGAAGATCTGGTGGGAAAAAAGTTATCTTTTGGAGGTGAGCCAATAAATTAAAAAGAGTTTATGACACATTGACTCCTTCACCATATCCACTACAATAAGCTGCAGTGGTTAAACTCCTTAGAATGTCTCTTTAAATTGTGTCACTCATTTATGGCTTCCCTTTATATTTTGCCAAACATTCAGGATTTATTTAGCAATCCTTAAAATATCTGACAAGGGAATTACAGATTTTAGGATAAAATTACCAGACATTTTTTTTCATGTTTGGTTATTTTTGCCTAAATGTACAATTTTCTTTTCTATTCTCTTTAATTCCCAATTTAGTAATGCATCATAACTATGAACTTAGTACAAAGTACTCCTAAAAGGCAATAATGAATTGAAATATTAATAAATGCATATTTCCTGGGTTCATGTAACGTATCATTGAGGTGCATCACTGCATGTAAACAATGCATGAAGGTTATTCTTGTATTGAAAGTACGTCAACTTCTTCATCTGATGCCATTAGGCTTAGTCAGACCGTAAAATATATTTTTCATGCCTGACAAGAAGAAAATCTACTAAATATCAAATGATATATTGAACACATGTAAACATCGACTATAATTATAAAGCTCCAATTGTGAAAAATAAAAATTGCCTGCGGCTGTGTAATTTGATCATCTGCATATGTATGAGAGATATTACAAAAATCAATAATCAAGGTAATCATTATAAATGGTGCAAGCTTTTAATTTCCATAGAAGCTTAAAAGAGTGCTGATTATTTGTCAACAATAATCAACACAAATTATCTTAACCATAAACTATCTTGAAAAAGAAACTTAGCATCTGAATATGGTGAAACAAAAGAGTATTGCGGGTGTTACAGTTGCTACTAGGATCCCGCATCCCATAAGGCCCAGGAACTCTGAACAATCTGCAACTCTATTGTCTATTGGAGGTCAATTGTATATTTCACCAGCACCATTGATCTCTTTTACTTACTCCTCATGTACTAAAGACATAGAGCACTGAGATACCAGAATCTGTATTCATAGAACACATGACAATAGATGTCTGTCAAAGGAGACACAAAATTCAAACTCCTCCCAATAAGACAACCATGATCTTTTAGATTTAAGAGTGCTCCTCTCTTCTCCTCACTCTAAAAGCTAGTAATAGGAATTAGAAAGTAGTAGATAAGGAGGGTGTCAAAAATTGTATCCAGTGGTCCACGAGTCATCTGAAAGAGACCATATTTTCTAAAGAAGGTTTACTTGAAACTCTCTAGTACTGCATATATAATGGAGAAACATTTCAACAATGCTTATAACTTGAAATGTGTGGCTCTGTTTACAGCTGTCAGTCTCTTGTACTGCCTTTCTCTGTCATGTCTATGGGCAGTTATTCTTCTGATGGCAACTTGGTCACCTTTAAAAATGTTACACTTCCACTTCTCCACATAACTCAGCAAGCATGCATGCAGTTTTAAAGGGGTTATAATGCTTGGAGCCCCCTGGCACTGCCCCTCCATTCAGTGTTAAATCATTTCAGAGCAATTTAACACTGAATGAGTGTCCCTTGCTACCTTGCCCCCACTAGAGGTATTGCTCAAGGAGAAATTACACACTTCCTCCCAGCCATATCAATTGATAACAGCAATGGTGGCTTTGATAGGCTAAACTTGGTCAGCTTACATTCTCAGCCAATCATTGCTGTGTATTGCTACTCAGGCTAACTATTTTCTGTGATATGTACATGCTCTCCATAATGTCGGGTTTTTCTCATGGCTCCAACACTGAAGTTTTACCAGTCTTTACTTTTTATTTTATTATAGAGAGGGCATTCATTTAAATTTACAATGTAATGTTCAGTGTTAATATGGCAAGATTCACTTTGTTTATGGAAATGCATAAAGAAATGGTATTGCATATTATCTCCGCAATTCAATATATTCAGGAACAAATCTATCTATCTATCTATCTATCTATCTATCTCATTGTTATATATTAGATGAGATATATAAAAATTATTCTGAATGATTCTAAAATTATCATTCCATCAGATTAATCAACATGTGTCTCCTAGTGCATTCATTTAAGTAAATGCTTCTGGAAAGTTTTAGCTTCCCATAGCAGATTGATATCTTGCAGCAAAAAAAAATGTCCTTTGAAGGACTCAACAAAATGCATACTTAATGAGTGCCAAGAAGGAACTATCAGCAACCCTATTAGGTGCTATGTTTAGATGTGAGATACACAATCTCCAAGTGCATTACTGCAGGTTATTTGTGAAGTTGTAGTGATATGTTCCTAATGGGTGTAAGGATGTGCTGACATCGGAAGTGGGACTGACAGGCCTGGAGTTAGCTGTCATTCCCATCATAGTCCTAATAGCTTAGCCAGGCATTCTCCAGGCAGATGAAGAGAGAAAAGATGTGTGTGTGTGACAGCATTGTACAAGAATGCATGTGAGGACCATTATAGTGTTGAATGTGTCAGGTGCCAGCAGAACAAGCCTGATCAGATAGACAAGCATGGTACTGAATGCTTTAAGGTATTTGAAGCCTGTCATTTCTAACAGCCAGCAATCCACAAGTGAATCCTTCATTAGTTTGTTTTTCTTATTAGCCTAAAACAAGAAGAATATAAAACCAGCCCTTTTGGCTTCTATATTATTAACAGCTTACAAATGCTGGTGAGAGAAAAATAGAGCTCAGAAGCCCCCTAAAAAACTCCACCCCAAAGTGTCTGCTCATTAACACCTGGCAATTCAGAGCAAGAATGAGTGGACACTGGCACAGCTGAAGAGAATATCTATTTTGAATGGAGGGCCAAAAAGACTCTCAGTAGATTTAATTAAAGCCATAGTGAACAGATGGGGAAGATGGAAAGAAATTCAACTTGAGACCATTCATCTGTCTAGACTTGAGTGTTTTAATGAAGCCTTAGCATTTTGCAAGTCCCACATTGTGGCTTTTCTTCCAGCTGTACTAGAGAGAACAGAAAGCCCAACTTTGCAATCCCGTTGTTTAAAGCTTCAGAATTTTACAGTGATTTGGAACAGAATATACAGTCTAACTAAATATCTTATTTCACAATGCTGCTAGGAAACCCAAACTTCATTTTCACTCTGGTCTGCTTTGCTACCGGGAGATTTTTTAATGGCTGCTGCCAGCTGTTGCAGCACACCCAAAGAAACTGCAGTAATACTTTTATATGTGACTTCCTTTTATTAGGTCCAGTGGGCATGGACCCTATCGGCATTAAGACTATCAGACTGGGGGTCCAGTAATTGACATGCTAGTAGGCTTGGGGACTCACTTATCCATCATTATTATCAAAGTCCATTTGCAGGTATGTAATATATGTCACATGCAGGATTATTCACTAAAGTAAGAGTTGTTGGGAATTGACGTAAATTTCAAATCGAAGGCAAAAGTAGTCATACTGGGAGCATTGCTGACTTGGGGAGTTTTTGCATTTTGGGTTATTTGGCCTTAAATTTGAAGTTAACTTTGAATTACTGATAATTCTAATTTTAGTAAATAACCCTGGAAGCTTTTTCCCCCTTGTGAATCTCTTACAAGCCCCCCTAGTGTGTCTCTTACCCCCGTTGTGTATCTCTTACTTCCTCCCAGCTTGTGTGTCTATTTTTTCCTTGTCTCCGAACCCCCAAAGACCCATTTGTGTGTCTTATTCTCTCCCAGTCCCTCTATGTGTCTCTTCCTTCCCCAAGCCCTCTGTGTGTGTCTCTCCCCCCCACCCACAGCCCCTCTGTTTATCTCATTCTCCCTCCAGCCCCTATATCTGTCTCTTTTCCGCCAGTTCCTCTGTGTGTCTCTTTCTCCCCTTCCCCAGTTCCTCTGTGTGTCTCCTACTCCCCTGCCCAGCCCCTCTGTCTGTCTCTTTCTCCCTCAAGCCTCTTTTATTTGTGTCTCTTCCACACCCTCATCCTTTTGTGGTCTTTTCCACTCCCCCCTTTCCTCCTGCTTACCCTTCATTTAGCGTGGCTGAGCAGACCACGGTGGAGGATTTTCTGTATTCTCTACCCGGTCTGCAAGGAAGTTGTTTGTTGCTCTCAGTCAGCACTTACTGCTACTTGTAGTGACAGGCAGGAAGGAAGCCAGTCACCCGGAAATTGTGCCCCTGGGCCAGTGCAACCTAGGCAGCCACTTGTGCGGCGTTATGTTTGCGCCGGCCTTGCTTGTGACACAATCTATCCTGAATACCTAAACAGAGATATTTAGGTATTTGAGTTACCTAAAAAAGTCACATAATCATCACAGAAGTCAGAACAGTAAAATGTATTTTTGCAGAACATTTTATGAACAGCTTGTAATACTGATTGACGGTGATATGAAGGAGACATGTCCTGGTACCGTTATCTAATTAATAACTTATTAAAAAAGAAACTCAAAACATCACTTTCAATGGGAAGTGTTGGGACAGAAAACATACTAAGGTTCTCTGTTAAAAATACATTCTCAATATATTTTAACAATGTGAGCTCACACATGAACAATATAACCTCAAGTGGTTTCCCATACATTTGATAAAAGTAAATGCAAACTGCTCATGCAAATGAATGGGAGCCACTTTGCACTTTCATTCAATGGGCAAGATGTTTCTGTTTATCCTTATATAGTGAATGAGAGGCCTCTTGGACTTCTGTTGCACTTTTGACCCTTTTGTTGCACGTATTCATTTATGTAGGGCAATATAGCATGTGCACTCTTGGAATCTTGCACAGCAATTCATCCATAGAAAACAGTAAGAGGACCCATATTATGATATTATGGTACCATGAAACACTCATTATCAGTTTTATTCACTAAAGTGAAATTTCAAAAGGAATTCAACGTGAATTTCAAATTTTAGACCAAAATACCCAAACTGGAAGTAATTTGAATTTTCATTTTAGTGAGCAATCCCTTTACTCACTAGTATTTGCAGTGCTTGTGATAACAGAGAGGTTATTTATTTAACCCCAAAATACCCTGAAATTTGTAGATTAAGTTTAAATTGCAAAATTGAGACAAAATTAAATGATCTGAAAAAATATTCTTATTATCTGAATGTTGCAATTAATGAATAACGCAGATTTTTTTTAACCTTTTATTGTCTTTTAACTCATTATGTATGAAATTGTGATCATTACTTTGCTCAGTAATGATTTACACCACTGCTACTTTTAAATTTAAATGTGAGTTCAAAGTCACTTAGTGAAAGTACTCAAAATGTTCATAAATAAAATATGCAGTCAAACACGGAAATTTAATACATGTTACATACTGTACTGGTAACTAAAAACTTGATCTGAACATATTCTTGTAAAATATAGTACTGCTTGGTTAAGTCATAAATTGTTAATTATTTGTTTTATTTTATTATATTTTTAGTAATTATGAAGAAGCATTAAACTGCAACTACCGTTTTGCAGAGAATATTTGGAATTCCATATTTTGTTTCCTACTAACACTTCCCCACAATCTAGTTATGAGAATATGTTAAAATAGCTCTTTGCTCTGCTAAATTCCCTACTATATTAATCTCATTATCCTTTGAACCATTTAACTGGCAATGCCAAATGCAATTTGTATTCTGCAGCAAAGCAAATGCACTAAACTGATTATCCCAATATGAACCGTGGCAATCCTTGATATTGTTAGGTCTGAAAGGCCGTCTACACACTGAATAGAGTTCCCATATGCCTTCTGAGCTTCATGACACAATGTTGCGTCTGCTTTGCAAGGGATAAATTAAGCGTGTGAAAGTCTTAGCAAAGCCCTCATTTTCCAGTTAATCAAATCTCTCCTAATCAAATTAGCACACATAATTCCTCTGGATGCACTGCACAAAAAATGCATTATCCCCTTCTTTGGAGTTGAAAGGGAGAGAACAGCATGATGTCTTTTCTCGTCTGCTTGAGTGGCCTCAAATAGAGGAGTGCTTCAGAAAGACAGTTTGAGGTAAACTTTGGCAGTCTTACCAGCCTCAACCGTTCTCAGCTCATTAAATCTACGGCCTCTGTGGCCACCTCCAGGGACCACTGAAGCATTCGGTAATGAGATACTTGTTTAATTTTTCTTCAAAGGCTGGACATCTGTGACAAACCTCCCATTTCAGCCCCACACAGGCAAGTGTATCAATAGGCCTTAGGCCTCTCTGTATTTTGATGGAGTGTTTTCCATTGAATTAACCAGATAATAAATTTTAAAAAGAACGGAACAATTGCCATTAACTCTGCTCTCTCCGAAAAAGTCGAAGTCCATCATGAAAATTCAATAGCTGGCAAAGCTAAATGGATAAATGTTCACAGTCAACCTTTTTAATTGATTTTCCTTCATGTAATGATCTAGTCTCTGAAGCTAGCCGTCCCCAAGCCCCTCTTTAACCTTTCTTTTCATTCCACATACATTTAGAAACACTGAACAAAAATGAATGGCTAAAATATTAATCTCCCTGGAGAGTAAAGCCCTGAAACAGACTATATTCTTAGATCAATTCCCAACTGTGTCAGCAGTCTACAAAAGAATGGAACACACGTTAAGCTTTAGTCAGTATGATACTGCCTCTGACCTTTATTGAAAACCAACCACCACATCCCGACACTATCTGCAACTCAAACACCCTTACCAGATAATGGAAATTCACTGCAAATATTGTTATGTCTCTTTTACTCAGTCACTTCTGGTTACATGATAATGAGGTCTGAGACATGCATAATGAAAGCTGTCTCAACATTATTTGCACTTTAATGCTTTATTATGTCTATTGATATTTTCTAAGTGGAAAAATTCTAGGATTTTTTTTGTGAGCATGTTTTATTTTGTGGAGCTTTTCAAAAGGCATAGGCTATTATGATGTCTGAGTTTTTATGCAAAATGAATAGCAACTGTTATGGGAGTCTCATGATTTAAATTTTTTTGTTTTCAAAATTAAAACCAAACTTAGAAAATTCAGTATCCCTTGGCCAGTCTAGTCATTATCCATTGTATGTAATTTCATGCTTCTTGACGTCATTTCATTCACATGCTTCCTCATTAACTTTTGCACATAATTACTTCATTAATATATATTTAAGCCATGAGAACATCTGTGTTTTACATCATGGTTTGTGTGTTACATAAAGATGTGTCAGCTCTTCAAATCTATAGACACTTAAGAATGTATTCACTAAACAGTGAACTGTGGTGAATTGAAACCGGAATTGCATAGGTTAGGGTTAGATATCTCAGTTGGACAAATTTCCAATTTCAGATATTTTCTGAGCCTGGCTGCTTTAGCATATTGTTTTTGCAAATTTGCTTTCAGTTCATCCCCATTCACTGTTTAGTGAATAAACTCCTAAGGTATATTCAATGATCTGGGACATTGTATAGTTTGATAAGAACATTTTAGGCCAAAATGATCAATCTGGAAAAATAGTTGTTTTTTTTTTGGTGCCTAGAATTTACTATTCCTGGTTTTGTGAATAACCCCTTTACTTTACTCGTTTATGTGGTAAAAAAAAAAAAAAAGAAGTAATTATCATTATTGACATGCCACACATTATGATTATTGAGGATTTTGGCTGCCTTAGGTCAGTCAAGACTATGCACCCCGGCCCACTTACTGTATTTTAGAGTATTCTCCCCCACAGTGAAACAGAGATGTTGGATACATTGTTGTCTTGAGGAATATAGCCCAATGCCTCTTGTGAAAAATTGCACGTTATAATATAATATAATAAAATAAATAAATGAGAAAATAAAGAATGTCGGCAGAAGCAAAGATAAAACCCGTTTGAGTTTAATTCACTAACCTATAAATCATGTAGAATTGGGATTACATGGACATTACCAATGTGAGGCCAAAATTATTGAACTGGTAACATTTTCCAAATCATTTTTTTTGGTTTGGCTTTTATTTGTCC